GAAAAATAATTTTAAGATCTTTCTGTTTACATGAGCTGAGTTTTAGTATATGTTCTCAGAATCTAGACATTTCCTTGTGATAAAAGATTACCACTGTTGGTGACAATATCCAATTTGCATTTAAGGTTTTTTCCCCTCTCTTATAATGATCATGTATTATAATTTGTAATTACAGATATTCCATCCAGAGGGCAAAATGTCAGAAAACAATTAGCCAAGGTGTTTAAAAATGAAACTGCTATGAATTGCCCTTTTATAAATGAGATTCTGATAGATTTATTTCAAAAATTAATGACTATCTTGTATATTAATATGCAAATAGGTTTTGTTAGTGTACAGAAAATATTGCCCATTACTAAAAGTTTTAATTTGACATACTCAAGACAAATGGGTGCTAATTTGTAATGTAGTTAAAGTAAGAAAATGCATCCTTCATTTATTGCTTACTGACACTTCCTTTCATTCTATTAGCACTTAAGGAGGAAAAGAGTGTAATTAAATGCAGGCAATTTGTTGGGTACCATTGTAATGTTGTAGTGGTTCTAGTTGCTCAGGTAAAGTTGTTTAAGGCATAGTTGCTTGTTGTTAAGTGCAGTTGAGTTGGTTCCTACTCATACTGTCTCTTTATGATGTTTCCAAGGAACAATTGGTGGGTCTGACTCACCAACCTGGCTGTTAGCAATCCAGTGTGTATCCTACAGTGCCACACCAGGACTTCAAGGCTTAGTTTAAGACACATTATATGTATCATTTTCCATCCTGTTATATGGAGTCCTGGAGTGGCACTGCAGGTTAATGTGCTAGACTGCAAAGTTCGTCTGAACTGCAAGGTTGGCAGTTCAAGCTCACCGGCTGCTCCTAGGAAACCCTGTCCAGGGTCACTATGGGTCGGAACCAACTCAATGACACTGAAGAAGAACAACAACAAATGCATACATCTGTATAGTTCAGATCTGTGGTGCTCAGGACAACTCTTACATTGTAGGTTCTAAATCCTAGTTGTTGAACTATTCAGATGAGAAATATTGCTTCACTACTTTTATCCTTTCACTCAATCTGCTATTCACTTACTTGAGTACTTTATACTTGCTTTCTTTTGAATACATGGATTTCATCTGTTTCCCTTAACCTTAGTAATACCAGACTTCTGTAGGTTTGCAAACAACTTTAATTTTGTATTTTCTGAGATGATCAACAGAATTCTTATCAGGAGTTGTTACTAATCAGTAATTTCTTAAGAGACCTTGTACTTAATAAATAGTTTGAAGAGTCAAAGTCACTGTGACCTTTGGCCTTGTGATTTAAAAAAAAAACCATAAATCTACTCTGTTTTAGTTTTGAATTAATTTGAAAACTGTTTCAACTCTTTTTATATCAATTGGTGCTTCCACAGTCATTAAATCATGTGAATGTGTTTACAGGTGAGGACTCAGAAGAAAGAAGAGGACAGGTTCTAATTCTTTTAGTGGAGCAAGCACTTCATTTCCATGACTACAAAGCAGCCAATATGCATTGTCAGGAGCTGATGGCCACAGGTGAACTGGACAACTTTTTTTTTTTTTTTTTAACACTTTGCTTATGTCTCTTTTCATGATGAATAATGAAAAGATTGTTCTGAAATCAGTTAGACTATTTGTTGTTGTTAAGTGCCATCGAGTCAATTCTGACCCTTTATAGGGTTTCCAAGGAGCAGCTGGTGAGCTTGAACCACTGACCTTGCAGTTCAAACGACTTTGCAATCTGATGCATTAGCCCACACCGCCACACCAGGATACTGGACTAACTATTAGCCAGTTGCATTTTGTTGATAAATCTGAGAAAAAGTTTATGACCACTGATAAGCTTGTATGTCATGCACTTTCATATGATTATAAGTGCTTTATTCCATTCAGGGACTGTATTTTATCTGAGATTTGGTGTGTTTTCATTGCCTTTTAACAACATGCTTATATTTTAAAGAACATATGTGTAAGTAAGTGTAACGTCATTTCCTATATTTAGTCAAAGAAAGATTTTTTGATTCATTTGTTACTATATAGCCAATATTTCTGTTCTTTGACTTCATTTTCAGGTAATAGTACTTTTTAAACTAAAGTTAAAAATTAAGTAATTAACACAAACCTAAGTTTTTCCATTCTGAAGTTTAATTCACGTTTCTGAAGGACAACCATATTTTATTGTGGAGTAAGTTCTCTATTAAACAGCATACTTACAAATAAGGTAGAATAGACTTAGGAGCTCCCTATTATTTGGTATACTTTTTATGACTGTTCCTAAATATCTGAAAGCCAACATACCTTTTGACCCACTGTCTGAAAAAAGTTTACTACTGAGTGCTTAAAACCCAGTGCTTCATTTGTGATAGCTCAGCCCTGTGCATATACATTATAAACACTTAGAAAATGATAAAGTATAAGAACTTTAATCTTCATAATCTCAGCTTTAAAAAAAGGGTATCAAAGATGTATATGTCCTAAGCATTTAGAAAATGAAAAAAAAAGAACATTGAAGATTGCACTTCATAATCTCAGCATTAGAAAAAGGATTTCAGAAGAGAGCTATGTAATATCATATTAACCAACAGATTTTGCAGCATTATATGACAGGTTTTCGAAAAGTCCAGTAAAAAAATCTAACATCTTTTCATTCCATTGCTCCATGAATTTCTGAAGCTACCTCGTATAATGGTCAGGAAGAAGGTGGTGATAATTTATCTAAAATTGTTTATGTAGCTTTGTACTAATTTTTGTGCCTGGGTTAATTTTTACTTAATATATTTAGGGGAATTATCCTGGAATATGGCTTTTGTACTTAGGGGGAAAAAATGACCATATTCTATTTGGAACTCTTTCAAAATAAGCATAAAAGTGTCTTTTAAGAATTCCAAGTATAACATTGCATAAGAAAAAAAGCCTCCTCTGGGAGTCAGGGTCTGCTGTGCTATTTTTGGCACTCTGTCCTTGAGCTTTTATTGTTTAATGTAAACTGAATGAAAATGGCATAATTTTTTTTCCGTTTTATAATACTGAGGCAAGTCTGATATTTAGAACTTTATTAAACTCACACAAGTGCCAAGTAGTATGATTGGGCTAGAGCTCAAGTCTTCAGAATTCAGATAGGTAGCTTTTTATTTTTATTCAACATCAAAATTCTGTTAGGTTATTTGTAGTCATTGTAAATCTGATATTTATCACTTTATAGGAAAAGCTTGTCTGGAGAAGCATTTAACTCTGAATAATAGACCAACCTTATCTTGCTTGTCTATTTTAGATTTTTATGGCTTTATAAAAGCTGATATGATAATGTGCATCATCTTAGTGACTAGGATTTTGCTTTGGCAGTATCATACCTGAACAGAAATTCATTGCATTTCTCAGATTTTTGAGTTTTCTTCTGGAAATCAACAATTTTATTTTCTTGCCAATTTAACAGGCTTTTCTAAAAGTTGGGATGTTTGTAGCCAGTTGGGACAATCAGAAGGTTATCAGGATATGGCTACTCGGCAGGAGCTCATGGCTTTTGCATTGACACATTGCCCTCCTACCAGCATTGAATGTCTTCTGGCAGCTAGCAGCTCTCTGCAGACAGAAGTAAGTGTTCTCAATAAAATAGTCTCCTGAATTGTATATTGATGGGTATGTGTATCTGAGGTCTGTGGGCATGTAGATGTGTGTGTGTGTGTTTATATATATGCAAAGGTTCTTCAAAAAAGTTTGTGAAAAATGGAATTAAAAGATAATGGAATTCTTCACTAAAATTTTTTTTTGACACCTCCTTGTATATATTATATAGTACAATATGAGACCTTCAATTTATGGAAGACAGATAGGTTATCACATATGTGAAAAGGAATTTGAGGAGACCAGGACATAAAACAGTATTGTTGGCTTTCTTTCAGTAATGAAGAAAAGGTAAAAGACAGGTTTAAGGAAAATAGAACGTATTATCAGGAAATACATTATGGAGTGTAATGAGGAGCTTAAAAATTGACAAAATAAAACATATAAACAATGATCATGTGAAATATAATTGGGTGGATGCTAAATTTCCTAAAATGCTCAGGATAGAGCTGCATAAAGAAGAACTGTCCTGCTAAAATGCACACAGTGCCCTTGTAGAGAAACACTGGTAGATAAGTGAAGAGATTGTGGGACTCACATTTTCACCTCATAGTCATTCATCACTTTGTATATTAGGCTTTTCAGTTTATTCCCACTTCTAAAGCTGTTACATAGTTGTGAAGCCATTTATGAAGTCCTGAAGTAAGCCTTTTGCTAACAACTGTTCACTAAACAGCATTTTGTTTCTTTAAAGGAGTACGTTCTTAACTTCAAAGCTTCATTGTGAAGAAAGGAAAATTTAAAAGCACAACTCCTCTTTGACCAAGTTATAACATATCCCGTTCTTGTTTCAGATTCTTTATCAAAGAGTGAATATCCAGATCCATGCAGAAGGAGAGAGAAATATCAGTGTTTCACCGTTAAGTAGTAGAGTGCTACCAGAGGTAAGTCATGATGAGAAGAAAGAGACTTCAAGGTGGGTGTGACATTAAAAGGGGGAAAAATTTTTTTTTGTTGGTTACCGGAGTGTAGGGGTGGGGTGAGGGGAGGAAGTGGGGGAAGGTGGAGCACAGCGTAGGGAATAGACACAGGATAGCTTGGGTGCTGGGGGGATGGGACACACTCTAGAAGAAGAAGGACAAAGGAAAAACGAGGCAGATGGGAGAATAGCTAGGCAGGTTTCCATGGGCTAAATAGGACAGAGGTAAATAATGATGTAAGCACAACCATGGAACAACAGGGCTCAGGAATACAAAGATTGAGGCATGGTTGATTGAGGACCAACAAGGATGGGGAACCTAGACATCGGCTACTCAAAATGGGGGCCTACAAAGGCAAGAAGTGACTGGCTTACAAGCTTTCGATAGGGAACCTAGTTCCAGAGGGTATGGGGAAAGGTAGAATCTCCACTGAATTGTTTCCAACTGTCTGGATGGGGTTGATAAAAGGTGAAGGAGAAAGGACTACTGTGGTTCAATAGGGAATGATTGCTTTCAGGTCTGACAGTGAGTGTTGGAAAGGTATGTAAATGTTTGGTAACAAAAGGAGAGGAGTGGCTGATTTTGCAGTCCAGGAGCAGAGATCCCTGGAACCATCAAAGGAGGGGAAAAAGCAAAGTGTGGGACCTTGTGTAGGGAGGCAGTGACACCAGGCATGGAAGCAGAGATGATAATGTGGACAGAAGGAGCAGCTGGGGACTCTGGACTCAGGGAGGGAGCCACGGGGCAGGCATGTGGGGTGTACCCTTTGGTTGTTTGATGACGCATGCAGGGGATTGTAATTGTTACAATGAAATGAAATACAATAGGATGAATGTGAGGATAATGAATAATGTTCTCCCATGGAAATGAACACATAATTCAAAATAAAAACTTAAAAAAAAAAAGCAAACAATACCCAAGAACACAACAAAAACAAAAAAAGATGGGATGGAATGGGAATACCTTATGTTTGAGACTGGTTGTGTATGTGTGTATGTATTTTTATTTGTAGAGACTGCTATTTTCCTTTTTAACATTTTTTTTTTTTAAACATGTGAAATGCAGCATTTATGTAGGAAAGTGCACAAACCAAAAAGTTCAGGTCAGTAAATTACCCAAAGAGAACATCCATGAACTACCACACAGATCAAGGGAAGAGTTCACATTGTCAGCCTTCAACAATTCCCCCCTACTTTCTCCCAATGTAATTTCTAAACCTTTTCTCGTCTCCCAGATTACCACTGACACAACTAATCTTATCAGATTACTGTGGATTTTGAATGTTTTTTCTCTTTTAAAATATTTTTAGCACCTAACTTGATAATTTTTAGAACCTCTAAGAGGATAGGCACTGGACTGAAAGGTCAGTTTTAACTGCAAGATTGGCAGTTCAAACTCACTAGCCGCTCCTTGGAAACCCTATACAGGATTGCTATGCATTGGAACTGACTTGATGGCACTTAACAACAACAACAAAAGGATAGGGCAGCCCTGGTGTGGTAATGTAGAATAAGCACTATGCTACTAACCACGTTGAAACTCACCAGCTGCCCCTCTGGGTAACTATGAGTTAGAACTGACTAGACAGAACTTACAACAAGAAGAAGAAGATGATAGATTAATTTTTCCTGTTTTTGTACTTAGTAGACCTTGTTAAAATCAGTGTTATATTTTATTTTTTTATGAGATTCCTAATGTTTTTTCATTTTGAAAATTCTACATAGAATTACTTTTTACGTGAGTTTATTATAGTTTATCCATCCTGCTATTGACTGACAAGAACAAGGCACCAGGAATTGATGGAATCAAAATTGAAATCTTTCAAGAAAGTGAGGCAGCACAGGAGGCACTCACTAATCTCTGCCAAGAAATTTGGAAGACAACTACCTGGCTGACTGATTGGAAGAGATCCGTATTTGTGTCCATTCCAAAGAGAGGTGACGCAACGGAATGCAGAAATCATTGGACAATCTCTTTGCTATCTCAAGCGAGTAAAGTTTTCCTAAAGGTAATACAGAAATGGCTACAATCATACATTGACAGAGAACTTCTAGAGGTTCAAGCTGGATTCAGAAGAGGCCGTGGAATGAAAGATATCATTACTGATGTCCGATGCATCTTGGCTGAAAGAAAAGAATATCAGAAAGATGTTTACCTGTGCTTTATTGACTATGTAAAGGCTTTCGATTGTGTGGATCATGACAAGCTATGGACAACATTGTGAAATATGAGTATTCTGGAACACTTAATTGTACTCATGAGGAATCTGTACCTGGACTAAGAAGTTTTAAATGAATGTTTTAAAATTAAGAAAGGTGTGCGACAAGGTTGTATTCTTTCACCATACTTATTCAACCTGTATGCTGAGCAAATCATACGAGAAGCTGGGTTCTATGAAGAAAAACGTGGCATCAGGATTGGAGGAAGACTCATTAACAACCTGCAATATGCAGATGATACAACCTTGCTTCTGAAAGTGAAGAGGACTTAAAACATTTACTGATGAAGATCAAAGAGCACAGCCTTTGGTATGAATTACATCTCAATGTTAAGAAAACAAAAATCTTCACTACTGTACCAATAAACAACATTCTTATCAACAGAGAAAAGATGGAAGTTGTCAAGGACTTACTTCTTCTTGGATCAACTATCAACACTCATGGAAGCAGCCAAGAGATCAGACTATGTATTGCATTAGGCAAATCTGCTGCACAAGACCTTTTTAAAGTGTTAAAGAGCAAAGATGTCAGCTTGAGGACTAAGGAGTGCCTGACTCAAGCCATGGTATTGTCAGTAACCTCATATGTATGCGAAAGCTGGACAGTGAATAAGGGAGACCATAGAAAAATTTGAGTTATGGTGTTGGAGGAGAATACTAAAAGTGCCATGGACTGCCAAAAGAACCAATAGATCCATTTTGGAAGAAGTGCAGCCAGAGTACTCCTTAGAGGCCAAGATGGCCAAACTTTGTCTCTCATACTTTGGACATATTGTCAGGAGGGAACAGTCGCTAGAGAAAGATATCATGTTTGGTAAGATGGAGGGTCAGAGAAAAAGAGAAAGACCCCAACGAGATGGATTGGCCAGGTGGCAGCATCGATGGACTCAAGTGTGGCAACAGTAGTGAGGTTGGCCCAAGATTGGACATTGTTTTGTTCTGCTGTGCATAAGGTCGCTATGAGTTGGTGCTAATTCGATGGTACCTAACAACAACTATTGACTGACATTGGGTTATTTTCAATTTCGACTACTAAAAATAAGCTGCTGTCATCACATGTCTCTAGTGCCCATATGCACACATTTATCTTAGGCGTATGCCTAGAACTGAAGTTACACATTTCGGCTCTGTATATGATCACCTTTAGCCAAATGATTTTCCTAAGTCAGTGTACAGAAACACACTTTCAGTAGCAGTGTGTGGGATTGACAGTTACACCAATGCTTTACAATACTCAGAAACTTGGTATTTTTAATTTTCTAAACTAAGGAGCTCTGGTAGCGTAGTGGTTACGAATTGGGCTGCGAACCGCAAGGTCAGCAGTTCAAAACTACTAGCTGCTCTGCAGGAGAAAGAAGAGGCTCCCGTAAAGATTTACAGCTTCGGAAACCCTGTTCAGGGTCGCTATGGGTCGGAACCGATTCCATGGCACTTAAAAGCAACCACAAGATACCTTATTCTAAATTTTACCTTCATTGTTGTTCTGTGCGGTTGAGTTAGTTCCAACTCAAAACAACCTTATATATAACAGAAAAAATTATCAATCAATACAACCACTTTGGACATTTGTTCTTGTTACGTGCTGTCAAATTGGTTGCGATTTATCGTGATCCTATATAGGGTTCCCAAAGAGCAGCTGGTAGATTTGAACCACTGACCCTGTGGGTCACAGTCCCATCCTTATCCTACAGTACCATACTAGAAGTCCAACTATTTGGTGATTTCTAACTGTGATTTTGATTTGTATTTTCCTGATTGCTGATGATATAGAGGCAGAATGAGAAATCCTCTTTTTACCTGTTCAATTATCTTTCCTAATTTCGATTTGATTTTTGTCTTTTTCCCTTTCCTTTTTGAGATTCTATTAATAAAATTTGTCTAAACCTAGTGTGGCACTGTAGGATAAGCACTCAACCACATGGTTTATTTGAACCTCCAGGTGGTGATTCAAATCCATCTGCTGGAACTAGGAAACCCTATGCAGGGTCAGTATGTGTAGGAACTGACTGGACCACAATGAACAACAACAGCAACAAGACACTACCTTAGGATGTCATTAGACAAGGAAATATATACCCACACTGATGTATCTCTGTATTTGTCAAAGTTTGCCCCATGGCGTTTAACTCTTTATGACTATTTTAGCAATATGGAGTTGGCATTTCATAAGAAAAGTAGTCCAGTTTCTGACGTTCTAGCTGAATAAATTAGAGGTTATAGATAATCCTTTTAATAGATTTGTTTTCCATAGAGTTCCTTTAAATGGTGAGCTTTGCTTTCAAAGTGTAAATTGTCATTCATTTTTTTAGTAACTATTTTAGAAAACATCTGTTGTGGTAATTTTTTTCTTGTTTTAAATTCAGTGTATCCATCTTGGCAGACTCATTAATAGTTATGCATTAATAGTTATGTATGTAGCATAGTGGTTACAAATTGGGCTGCAAACCTTAAGGTCAGCAGTTTGAAACTACCAGCCATTCTGCGGGAGAGAGATGAGGCTTTCTGCTCCCGTAAAGATTTACAGCCTCGGAAACCCTGTACCAGGGTTGCTATGGGTTGGAACGTACTCAATGGAATGTAACAACAACATTTCAGAAAACATCTATTGTAATTTTTTTTTTCTTATTTTAAATTCAATGTATCCATCTTGACAGATTCATTAATTGTTATGTATTAGATGGTTACTTTTAGAATTCTGATATAAAGGTTCAGGTGTGAAATTTATTAATGGAGTTAGGGCCAATAT